TTTTTGTATGTAAAAAAATGTATCTGATTTTAACATTTAATTTTATTTATTTGTTCTCATATTACAATATTATATGACATTTCTTCATTATAATTTTATTTAAATATATTATTGTAAGTAACGTAAACAAAAATTCCATTACATTGTATATTATGGGAAAGAATAGGTACACATTCTAAAATTTGTCAAATGAGCATTTTTTCAGCCATGCAATGTTGCTAGTCCCCAATTTTCATTTTTCATACAATGAGTTTTTAAAAACAAAGAAAGTTCTTTTTAAGTGAAAAATTTACTTATTTATTCATCAATGTCTGCTTAGGAGAAATTTCACTGTTTTTGTTATTTTATTTTGTATATTTATATAAAACATTTTATATATAAAACTTGCCACACTATCGAAGTTTGTATGACTTCTTCATTAAGTCATAATGCAATTGAAATTGAAAGAGTATTATCATTATAAGGATATGTAGAGTATCTATATTATCTCCGAAAGAGGCAAATAGCAGAGAGAAGAAATTGTTTCTTTATACTTTTTAAGACACAAAATCTGATAAATAATCATGGATCTTGCCTAAATGAGAGTATCAATAAAGAAAAATTTGTTCATGTTGAGTCTTTTCCGAGTTAGTGCATCTGGGCATTTTTACTTTTTGATAGCTGGAGGGTTTCTGCAGAGGCCCAGGGTAATAGGCCTAACTGACTAATGTATATACCCCAGTAGGTAGGTAAAATTAGAACGAGCCAACATGTCATTCAAAACTAGTTTAAACCTCTTTTTGATATTTTTAAAATTTGTGTATACTAAGAACGTTAATATTACACTTTAATCTTAGCTATAATGTTGAAATATTTCTGTTTATGTAGTTATTAAAATATAAATTATATTTGGTTCTAAAGCAAAAGGTAACTTTCTGGTGAAGGCATTGTATTTGTTAAAGGTTTTTCTTTTAATTTTTTAAATAAAATTTCTGTTTCTCTATTTAAAATTGTTTTTTATTTTCAGTGTAAAGGAACTTGAATACGAATTAACGCTATTACGAACAGAAAATGAGTCACTAAAAAAGCAACATACACAACAAAATGTTTCAAGTGGTAATGTCAGTGCCGTTAAATCAAGAGCGTTTACTGGTAAGTCTCAATAATTTAAATTTTGCTTTTTACACTTATGCATTTTAATAATAATGATAATTTTTCCTAATTTAAAGCAGAATTATTTTTGTAATAACTTTTTAATCAACCATAATTTTATTGAAAAAAGGTGATTTTGTTTTAATATTAAAATATAAATTTAGATGGCTAATTGTATTGCTCACTACATAAAGTAGCTACACAACTAATTTTTATTTCAATAAAATAACTAATATAGTAACTAATAAATATAAATTAATTTCAGATGAAACTTGTGCATCTCCAATGGTTAATATAGCAAAAATCGTACAACCTACAGCAACTGTTTCGAGTGTTCCTGTTTCTGGACCAACTACAGGTATTGCACGATCAATAACACCTGGTCAAAATATACGTACTGGTTTATCAACAGCAACTGTAACATCGGCAGTATCGCATGCTAGTGCTGCTGCAGTTAATGAAATATCAGGTGCAGCAGTACCATCACCAGCTAAAATGCAACCTACTGCCACTATACAACGTGCACCTGGTGGAAAATATTCAGCACTGGCAGCTGCTGCAGCATCACATTCTGTTGAACAATTAACCTCACATCCGGTACCGATTGCAGTACCACCAGTTACAGTCCCAGCTGGTGCTCGTGGAGTGCCACCACCAATACCTCCAAATAAACCAGTTGTACCACCAAAACGTGAACCATCATTATCACGTTTGGGTTCGACAACATTAAATGCAGTGTGCATGCCAAACACTGGAACAACTTCAACTGTTAATACAACAAATATTAAGCCTAATTAGATTAAAATCATAACAGTGCTAAGTTAAACTTAATTATTTTTAGTAAACGCCAAAATAGTTGGAATATTTGTGGGCTGTATTTATAAAACTTTTATATTAGCTCAAATCTCCCTTTCTCTGCAAAAAATAGTACTAAATAGGATAATAATTAAATAATTAAAATATCGTTTATTTAACTCGGCTATCTAGCTTTCACTTTAAAGAGTCTTCGGTATTAAATATAATAACTTATATAAAGTTAAATTACCTATATCTACTTTTATGTATACATACATATTCATAGAAATGTGTGTACACTATTTTCAATATACTATTTAACTTGTTACTTTAAAATAGCGTTGTGCTTAATAGTAATTAAAGGCTTTCTCATTTAGAATACTTTAATTTTATACATTTAAAATGAGATATATGTAAATTTTAACAAGCTCCATTAAAAACCTGAATCATTTCCTTAAATATTAAATTAATATAGTTAAAAATCAGCTTAATATCTTCACGATAATTTCTCTGATAACAAATTTTTATTTAAATAAAATATACATCATAATTAATTAAACTATCCGGTTGAGTTCTTTGCTAGCTAAAACAAAATATTGGATTTGTTAAATATTGTGTACAATGGGCCAATAGGCCAAAGTGGATCCTTAGGATCGCCGGTATAACCTAAATTCTGTTTGTATAGACAAGTTTATTTAGAAAAATTCGTTGGGTCTAGATTGTATCTATCAACAATAAACAATTTTCCCATGCGAGCAATCCGAATATATGTAACAAACCATACTACCTGAATCAAAAATTATCACTTTTTTTCTTATTTATTTGTACTAATTAAAACTTATGTGAACAACGTATAAATAAGTAAAATAATAATATAATATTATATTTCTTAGATATATTTTAAAATATTAACAATGTGCAATCCAAAGTAAACAAACAAGTCCTTTTATAAATAATAACTAAAGGTTTTTTAGGAAACTCGGTTATTTAATTTGAAATAGTCTCCTTTTTTACTTATAACAGCAAAAAGCCATGTCTAAACATGTAATATCTATAAAACAGTGTAAAAGTATTCTAGTTTAGCGACCGGAAAGTCGATCAGGAGATGTTAGTAAACTCCTTTTAACTTATATGTTAACAAAACTTTCCTTTCATTAACAAGTAAATTATACAGAAAAAATATATGGTGTATAAATTAAGTGATTGACCTTACCAATGTATACAAGTGTCAGTAAATGTCCTTACTACAAATACCTACTTTTAAAGAATTCTGTTTGCTTTCGAAGCCCTCTTATATATCACTAACTATTCGAAGTCCTTTTAAATTTTTTCCACATTAAAAGCGTTAATAATAATAACTTTTATATACTTTTAAATTGTTCACATAAGTCTTAAGTAGAATAAATTTATAAATTATTTCTCCATATTTTTTAAAATTGCAACACTTTTATGTATCAAGAATTTGATATTTATTTATAAATTAGTTATATTCTAAGTAACACATTTATGTATTAAAAGTTTTATATTATATTATAAATTAGTTGTATTCTAAGTAAAAAAGAAAATTACCATATCTTTTTTTTTGTAAATTAATTTTATTCATTATTTTAGTACTATTAACATTGTTTTAATGGTTATATATGCAAAAATATTAGAATTTTTATTTATTCCATAAAACATGCACCGGTGATGTGTTAGTCTACTAATAAGAACATGTACTTGTGCGGGATGACAATGTATCTCTTTTTCCTCGCAAGTTTGTGATTTTGTTACTAGTCTAATTTGCCATTTCCACTTAAATAAAAATATTCTGTAGAGTAAAACACATTTTACCTAATATCGCTAAGTTATAAATGCTTAATTGTATTTGTTTTTACAATATCAAAATTAAATAAAAAAAAAAACCATAATTTTACAAGTTTTTATAAATGTATCCAAAATTTATTATAATCAAGTGTGCAAGAAACTAAATATATATAAAAATAATTATTAAGAAAAAGTAATATGTTATAAATATTAGAATCGCATAGTTCGATTAAAAATAATGTATTCATATTATATTACCTATATATTATACATATATAACCTAACCCATAATTGAATTTTCTATAATAACTGCGCGAGATAAGTTGCGCGCACATGCTAAACGTAATAAATTGATGATCTCTTCAATATTTTCAAGTCGATAATCTTTTAAAACGTTCACAGGCTCCTAAAATTATTAAATAAAAATAAAAGCGTTAAAAATAAATGTTATATATTTGTTTAAAATTTAAAATGAATGTTAAGCATTAGTTAATAAATAAAGTATGGGGAGCTCAGTATAGCTTTTGAAAAATTTGGCCAATTTCGATAACAGAAGCCAGTGTTCGAAATTTTTTCCGATCGTTATAAAGCTAACTTAAACAAATTAGAAAATTTTCGTTTCAATTATATAAAACAAAAATATATAAAAATATTTATAAATAAATAAAATCCTCAAATAAAACTTTTATAACTTATATTAGTACTAAAGCACAAAGATAAATGAAAGAGCTAGCTTTATTAGCTTAGGTTTGAGTGGTGGCTTTGTGCAAAGCCCCATTGAGCTTAAATAATGACCCATTGTGATACCACGAATTAGCATTGTTCAAATACATATCAGAAGCATCTTTAAAAGGACCGCAGTGGTCAGTGTACAGGCAACTCTGAAAACATGTCTTAAGTCTTAAACTTGGTTATGTTCATTATTTTATATGACAGTGTGTCAGATAGGTAAAAAAAGATGCCCATATATTTTTAATCTATTAGCTAAAAATGTACACTGACAAAGAAGGTTAAATACTGATTTCTCCTCCTTCTCAAATCAACAACTACGATTAAAGTCATTATAGGGTAAACTCAGTCTTATATCATGTCTTCCTAGTACGCAGTCACCTGACCACACCGAAAACGTAGTGCTTAATAGGTGTGGTCAGGATGTTATAAGGATCTGATTTCATCCGATTTGTTGCATACTATTGTAATTGCGTTTTCATCTTTATATATACACATTTATACTAATAAAAATGTTCATACTAAAAACTCACATTTGGAAATTTTTCAAGACGTTTTTTCTTTTTTTCGATAAGTGGCACCAATTCCGACTCTAAGTGATATAAAATCGCGCAAGTTTCCTTGGATAATATTTTAGGGTCTTTAGATTCTAATAATGGTATAGTATCGATCAACAAAGACGGCCAAAAGCTGAAAAAATGTAAGAAAAATAATTAAGAACCATTCAATTTTGTTATACACATTATATGATATTTTAAATACTTACTATTCTGGAGTTATTTTCGAATCTAATAGGTTTACCAAAAGTTCAGCTGCAGGTAAAAAATTACGTTTACGATAAAATTGATAGAAATCAAAATATTTAACTAGGAACACAAGACGTGGCGATATAAACATCTTAGGTCCAATATTAGCTACAATATCAGGACATACCATATCACCTGTTTCGCCATAATTCTATACAAAAAATTGTTATTTATTTTATATTCAATTGTATTATATGTTTTAATACTTTTAAAATGAAATCGGCAATAGAAGTGACAAAAATGTTATCTTTAGATCGAATTGCCCACTCTAATGCATTACCATAACGCTTGATACTAAATGACTTCTTAGCTTCAATTTTACATATTTGTTGTTCTAAAATAGTGTTTTGTTAATAAAACTTAATTTTTAAAATTAAAATATTTATTAATACCAGCATCAATAAATCCCAACTTTCGTGCAATTCCTATAACCTTCAAGGCTTGTTTTTCAGATTTGATTACAACTTTGGTTAATAATAATTCCTGAGCAACTTTGCCTTTAAATATATAAAAACAAAATTATTCATTTTAGTAAATGTAAATACGCTAAGTGTATTATTTCTATTATAATACCTTCATGGGAACAGTAATCTAAATAATCAATTCCTAGTTGCCATAAAGAGTTTCTTGTCATTAAGCACGTTCCGAATTCATATACTAATGAGTGTCGCAGCTTTACGCATTCACTAAAATGATCTTAGTTAAAATTGTATATATATAAAATTGTAAATACATTATAATCCATACCTTATGCGTTGATTACCCATATTTTCCAAATTTCCGCTGTTATATAATAAGTCACATAAATGCGTTATGAACCATTGATTATCAGCTAATAGCTGAGTTTCATGTATAACTTCATGTAAATTATTTTCCATAAGACTTAAGATTATTTGGTCTAACTGATTAAGAAGCAGGGATCTACTGTTAATATGCTTTTGTTGTGCAAACCGATCAAGCCAATTATTCGCAATATTACCAAGTTCAAACAATTTACAAGTAGGATTTGAATAAAAGAGAAAACCAGGAAAAAGTTCATACCAGTACTCGGCATTTTTAATTTCAGCATTCCAAACATCTGTGTTGCAAGTTATCAACTAAAAGAGTATGCATTAAATATGCCTTTAATTTTTTATGTTAATTTAATACTTGTATAATTTCTTCCAGTTTTGGTTCACCAGCCAGAATATTGGAAGATAATTTTTGTTCCGTATCAGTTAACCAGTATTGCCATTGAGCACGAAATTTTTGTACAGAAAATCCAGAGTGTATCTTTTAAAAGCAAAATATAATAATAATTATTTAGTATATACTATTATATATCACCCTACTTACATTACAGTTCGGTATCGCTCTAAGAATTTGATCCGCTAACTGATATGTGGGTGAATCTATTAACGGGTGCAAATGTAAAAGAGCTCGTGCTACCTCTATTTGCCCCTGTGTAATAAGACTTTTTAAAGTTGGCCAGTAGTTTTTATTGTCACTAGCTTCACGTCCCAACAGTAATAAATCGGTTGCTAAACGTTCACCAGTTGGAAAGTGAAACCTTATCCAATCCAATAATTGTGGTGATATCAAGTTATTTGAATTTACATCCAAATATAAAATTTCACATAAGTGCCAAATGCATTCTATAGGGTAGAATGTAGAAATGTATCGTTGGTATTTTTCTTCTTCATCTATAAGGGCGGCGTCTTGCAATTTCTCAAGGCACGCTCTAATTATACTTCGATATGTCCTAGAAATTTTAATATAATCTGACTTTGAACCTGCACGTTTAAGCCTTTGTAAAGCAACAAAAGTAGCACATCCTTCAGCAATTAAACTACGTAAAATTGGATCTTCAAAAATAAAAGTTGGTTGAAGTAAATGTATTTGTACGGGGTCTTTTCCATTATATTCGGTCGGTTTATCCACTGTTGTACATGTTATTGGGCGATATGCGCTCAACGCTATCTTGTTTCCAGAAACAAATGTTCCAGTAAGGGTATTACCAAAGCGCGTACTTAAAACATCTTTTATACCCTGTTGAAAACCAATTACATTATTTATATTCACATCTGAATTTCATTAAATAGCCTTACAAATACTGCCGGCTCTCCTTGATTATCCATTTTCGTAATTCAACACTACTTTAGCATGTAAAAGCAAAATAACATATATTACAGCTTTCAATGTGTTTTACAGTCGGCGGCTTTTTTGACGACAGAGATGCTATGAAATTTCAATTATTAAGCAGTGTGCACACTGATTAATTCTTGCTTAATCTAGTTGTTACATGTACGCATACTTTTGTCATTTTTGTACAAAATTTATGTATGAAAAACGTAAAGGGTTTATTTAATCAAATAATAAAAATTCAGCACATTCAGAAAATTAAAATCAAATAGTTAAAGATTTATATTCACATATATTTTCTTTAAATTATATAAATTAAGCACTTTTTTGTAATTAAAGTAAAAATAAATAGCGATAGTTTTAAAAAATGATAAAAGCATTCAAGCAAAAAAGTGTTGTATGACTATAAATAATTCCATACATCAGCAAGAAAATGAATTGATATATGAATAGTTTAAAATTATAGTACAAACTCTTTTGTTTGAATAAAATTAGTTTGATGTTATGAGAAGTATGTGAAAAGTTGTGTTGATATAACATTAAACTTATACATACATATAAATTAATAATTTAATATAACGTATTTAATAACTATTTTGTTAATCAATTGTTAAATGTTATATTGTGAATAAATTGTTGCCTAATGTAATATAGTTATTATTAATAAATAGTTTAATCGGTACATGTAAAATCAACATTGTAGAAGGACCCTACATCCTTCCAAATAGGGAACGCGTCATCACTGAGCTTACTTTTTAAGTCGTTATTAATCTGATTCTTACACTTTCCGATTTTAAGGAAAGACGTATAATTTTGTAAGTACTATTAACAATTATTATAAGTTAATATAATAATAAATTAACATTTTTATAGTCTTAATGAGTTTTTTTTTCTGGTGATTTTTGGTGGCAAATTGAAAGTAAGCATATCTAGATTAAATTGTATTTCGTTTTTCAATTGCAAAATCAATTACTTTGCGTTTACCACAATTCATATCATAATAAATATAATTGATTACAATATATAATGCTATATATGAATATATATCGATATATTATATTTATTGTATGATGTGCTTCTTGTTTGTAATCTCGCTTAAATTTTTTTTAATAAATAGATATATTTCACCCTGTGCAAAATAACGACATTGTGAAAGTGAGAAAAATATCCACATTTGGTTAAAAAAAAAAGTTTGTTGATTTTTTACAATATTAAATAGAAGAATAATTAATTTTTTTTTAATTTTAAGTTAAATAATGGCAACCTCACGTCTTTTAATTTTATCTCGTCAGTTACCTGCTTTAATCAACTTCAACAAATTTTGTCGTCACGCCACTTACTTCAGAAGTGGAGCTCTTAAGCCCAAACCAGAACAAATGAGCTTTGGTATTGTTGGAGTAGTGTGTGCAGTTGTTCCTGGTCTGTTTATAGGTGCAGCAATAAGCAAAAGTATAGCAAACTTTTTAGAGGAGAATGAACTTTTTGTTCCATCAGATGATGATGATGATGATATGGATTAAGAAAAAAATGTTGACATTTTCTTCCAAAAATACTCTAGTCATCTTAATAAAATAAAATCAGCAGAAAATTTTATAAAATTTGCTTCATATAACTGAAACAGGAGTTCACATCTAATTTTAAAGACGAATCTTATAATAAATATTAATATTTATTTGATACTTAGCTTAGCTGGTTAATATAGCTAAGTTTTAAGAAATTTATATAAAGCTAATACAATATGTTGCTCAAAATAAAACGTTAAATATATAAATTTATTTATTTTTTAATTTTATATTATAAAAATAAAATAGTTTTTCAAAATATAATAATAATGTTATGTAGTCTGATATTGAAGTCATTGATTGTTATTTGTACAGGCTGTCCTTTGTATTTGTATATAATATACATGTATATGTTATAACTTCTTATATTCATTTTTCGATATAACTTTGAGTTTCAATTACAAATATAACAAAAGCCAAGTCTTCTTATATTTCACAGATTCGAAACTGTATTGCGTTTATCGTTTTTTTTCATATGCATCCACCAAGAACTTTTGCAGTGATGAATCTGGGTGTCTGTATGAAATGCAGTTGCTGATAAGCTTAAAAGCTACCTCGGATTTGATATTTCAAAGAAAACAAAACCACTGAAGCAGGAACTGTTTTGGATAAACAATTCTAACAAATTAATGTTTATTTTTAACGTGCGTTAAAACCACAGAATTACCAATCATAACGTCATCCGTGTTTTCAATTGTCTTATAGTATTTACAATTCTAAAGTTAAGCAACTTATGGGTATGTTCTGTAGAGGTGGCAAGTTGCGAACTTTCATACAGGTCAAACTGAATCTTCAAACCTTCTTTCTCATTACATTTAAACCATATCACTTCCTAACATGGAATGAGGCATGCGCCTTCTCTCTGTTGATCCTATGTCGATTTGTAACATCAAGAACAGCTGGAACTTAAACACTAAGAAATTGAATTGGCGCAGAATGTTGTTCTGTTCGAAGTCGTAACACCAAATGAATGCTTATAGTATTTCGATATGTTCCACCGTTTCAGGTGGAAGCGTATTTAGATCGTAATTTTTATGCTTATGACCAGGATTGGTAGATTTGATTGGATTCAAGGTATAGAGGAACACTTTACAAGAACCTAAATATGTATATAAGTAGTTTAATATAATTCTTTAAGACAAGATATCCATTTTTACTCTTTATCTAAAGAATTGTATTTAAAAATATCGGAAGAAATGTTTTTGATAGTTGATAAAAAACCTGAAGTGAAAAAAATTGAATGCATGTGTTCTGCATTAGCACAACACAGCAAAGACCAAACATAGAGCAGACCTAGACAGATCTGAGAAAAGCATAACAAAATATTGACTGTAGAGAGCCTCCGCATACTAAAAAACATAAAAAGAACCATGAACAGGAAAGAGGAGAGAGCTAGCTGTTACTACTACAACCTTAACTGCATAATCCTATTGTTTTTGTTTATACATTGTAAAGTATTTAATTTATTGCTTATTATTTAAAACTAAAATTGTAAACAGTATAAATAACCGCCTTATATGAATAGAAGAAAAATAACAGCTATAATACTCCGCCCTGAGGAAAAAGAACAATAATCTTCCAAATGTTGGCGATAATTATATAGAATACTATATAATAATAAAAACAAAAATAAGAACTGATTTATAAGCTCTAATTTTTTTCACTAAAGCCTTTTTATCAATTATAAAGGAATAATAAATGAACTAACAACTACTCTGATATATGTTTTTGTTAGTCCAAGTGTACATTACCTAATCCATGTTAGGTGTATCTTATCCTAACCCATGCAATTCATCTTAAAATTCATTCGTGTTTTAATGTAAATTTTGTAATAGTAACTTTTGCTTGAGCGGCATTTTTTATTTTTTACTTTTAGAACTGATCTTAATAAGTAATCGTTGTGCTCAATAATTATAATATTGACATAATATAGTATGCAAATTTTCTTTTAAACTAATCTTTAACCATTAAAAACAAGTTTTATCGCCCAATTTGAATTTTATTTATCTGAAATATATAAATCCATTAATATTTTTGTATATAATATAAATACGTATAGGATAAATAGACATTTAATGAATACGTATAAACAATCAAATTTAGCTGAAATGATCATATCAAAACACAAAATTATTTCCTGCATATATGTATTATTTACTTAATTTAAAGAAAATTAAATAAATCTATTTGTTGCTATTAAATGATTGTGTGTGAAAAGTTATTTTAGATTTTGGACGATATTTATTACAATCGTAAATATTTGAAATATAAGTTGAATAAGATTTGCCAACCGATCGCATTTTATTTTTATTTTTACTTTTTATTTTGTATTTTGTATTTTTTGTAAATTGTTTGTCGTTATAAGTTACATATTTTAATTGTTAAACTTAGCAAGAGTAACTCCCAACAAAGTTTAGTTTTTATTTGTTTTACAATTTTTTTGTCTTTTTAATATACATACATTAATTATATATTTGTATTTGTTTCAAGTAGCAAAATTTATATGTTCATGTTTTCGTTTCTTTTTAATTTTTTATCATGATTTTTTTCTTTTCCTTTTTTTTCATTTTTTTATTCATTTCCTTGATTTATCAAAATTGTTAAAGATTCTGTAGACTTTTTTTAATAGTTCAACAAAAAAAATTTCTTTTCGTATAATTCAAAATATAAAAGAAAGGAAACCACCATAGCATGTGTACCATGAGAGTACGTTGCTTGAAGATCTATTGATCTCCCTTTTTTTTATATTTCAAATGGTGTTATTGCTTTTTTTCGCCGGTAATAAAAAGTTTGTTGATTTTAGTTCAAGTTAAACAAAGTGTAAATCAATACAAGACGTGTAAAAAAAAAAGAATTGATAAAATGAATTTCCAGAAAAATCCAAGACAAAATAAAACAAACAAATTATTTTTGAAAAGCTGTTATGTTTAAAATTGAAGGAAATTTTACAATTTTTTTGGTTCCTTTTTAGATTTTGGAATTTTTAATCTATGAATTTTTTTAAATTTTTTTGAGCTTAAAGTGTATATGTTATTAAATTTAAAATTTTAGCGTCACATGTTTAACTGGTTGGTTCAGTAACACGATGAACTTGAAGAACAGCTACAGCTTCTTCAACCTTAGCTTTCAAAGCCTCGTTATCTTCAATCATGTGCAATAGCTCAGTGTTTTCAATTTCAAGCAACATGCCAGTGATTTTGCCAGCTAAGTGGGAGTGCATACGCTCAATCAATGGGTAAAGACGCTCGCCCAACAGCTGCTTCTGTTCTTGTGGTTTAGCGTTGGCCAATAGTGATGCCAAAATTTTATCTTGACCTGAAATAAATTTTTTTTTATTAAAGATGTTTTTACTATTTATAAACAAATCAAAAAACATTATTTTTTTTTAAAATATTTCTTACCCTTTTGATGAATTTGTTGTCCTTGCTGGGTAGGTGGAACTTGTTGAACAACTGGTTGATTACGTACATTAGATGTGTACTTGTAATTAGAAGTACGTTGTGGTCCTGCTGCAATTGGAGCACCTGCCATTTGCATATTAGCAGCAACTGTTGGTTGTCCTGTTATAGCACGAGCACCAG